TTGCACGATAGGACTGTGCGACGTTTCTTCTGGATCTACGAGTTTGCAGATGGCCACAGAAGCAGCAGCCCTAGCGTCACTCCCCTCTGCGATCTTCCTTCTCCACCTCACCTCATAGTCAGACCTCCTAGAAGTAGGGATGTTGTTGAGGATTGCCCACAACGCCACCCAATACACAGAGAAGAGATCATCAACAGGGGACTGGAGATACCTGGTACCGTCCTCTATGGACTCGAGGAGCCTGGGAGACATGAACTCTGATGTACCCTGCGCACAAGTCTGTCACTGGAAAAACACTACATGGAACACAAGTAGCTTACCGATCTCTCATCGCTTCCACGGTTATGGCCTTGGAAATAGGATGCCCAGCAAATAGCCTTATCGCCATCGGTCACAAAAGCGATGCACTTCGTCGATGCCCCCAATTCTTTGACAAGTCGCTCCACCCGCGTCATCTGCTCCTCCAGGTCACTCAACTTAGGAGGCATAGAGTCGATCGAAAGACCTTCAAAGAGCGACGTCAAATCTTGGGCTGGCTTTGTGGCAGTCTGGCGGAAATCTGCTGCTATTTTAAAAGCACTTTTCTCAACAGAGTTGGGACAGAGGAGTAAGTTCCCAATGCTGATGTCCCGGTGCAGGTATCCAGCTTGATAGGTTGACAACCATCCTGCAAAACGTATCAGCAGATTGTGAGGCAAAGAGCAAGATACGCTAACACGCCGTGGATGAGTGCTTCACAAAGCTCGCGTGAGCTTTCGGCCTCAACAAGCGAGCGGCCTTCGAGTGAAAAGAAGGAGTAACACATAGTGCGGGTCTCCGCCGCAATCGGCGGGGTATCTCGGAAAAGTTTCCAAAACGCCGATTCAATCTCATCCTTTCTGGGAAGGAAAATGTGGTTCGAGATAGGCCGGCCGCCTTCGTATGTCCCTTCGTACGAGCAGAGATGGGAAACAGTACCAAACCTCCCATTGGATGCCTTGTACATCCCCGGCTCAACCTCTTTGAGTTCGTCCTGCTGCCAGGAGATCTTGACGATCAGTGGTTTCTGAAATTCTTTTCGTAGGTCTTGCGTCTCGTGTGACGGGGTAAATCCTCTAGGCTCGAAGTATCCAATGTCGTTTTCTCGTTTGTAAGGCGTGATGGGGCATGACTCTGCTTCGATGCAGTTAGGAGGCGAAGGAGCAACCAGCAACAGATAAACGTACCACTCTGTGTCGTCTTTTCATTCTTCGTCGTGCCTTCGCTTGGTGTTCCTTCTGCGGTGGTAGGCTTTGCTTGAGCGGTTGTCTTGGAAGGCGGTTTCTTGGTCTGCTTTGAAGAGGGTTTCTTGATTTGGCTCGAAGACGAAGACTCTGCATTCGGTTGGTGTGCGGCAGGAGTACGAAGCCTTGGCGATCGTCTGAGAGGAGCGGTGGTAAAGGCTTTCAACGAAGGAGCACCTTGCGACGTCGTCTCAGGCGCGACGTTAGGGGGCTGTGTCGGAATATCCTTGACAACTACACGCGAGACCTTGGTGGAGGAGCCCCGAACACATATCGCCTCGTATAAATTGTCCAGGATTGTA